GGCTGCCAGAGGACTCGCGGCTGGTCGAGTTGCAACGCCGGTGCCGCCTCACCACCACCGCCGCCATTGTTGTTGCCGTTGTCGTTGTTGTTCTCATCATCATCGCCGCCGCCTCGGTTGCTCAGGCCTACACCAAGACCGACGGCGAGAGCAATGGCGACGACTAGGACGACACCCACGAGCGCGAGCTTCTTCCATAGCGGCCATCGCGGCTTGGCGGTGGCGGCCTTGGGCTCGGCGTGGAGCGAGTCGGCAGAGGCAACGTCTGCAGAGGGCGGCATATTGGGAGGATGGGCGGGGGCAGGGATGTGAGTGGGATGAGGTGGGTGGGTGAGATGCGAGTGAGACCGGAGGAGGGGAGATTCTGGAGAGGATCGACCGGGCCTTGTGGGGATGATGGACCTGCCGAGCTGGGAGATCTATCGCCGACAGGACAAAGACAGGTCTTTTTTGAGTTGAGAAAGGGCAAACCCAAGATCGATCGATGGTGAGATGGCTGAGGGGCTGATGATCTGAGGGATGATGATGATCCTCAACCGAATGTGAGCGGACGGAGGCAGGAAGCTGACCGAGTCGGCCGATGAAGCTGACGACGCCGGCTGATGCGGGATTTTTTACCTGAGAAAAAAAAAAAAAGAGAAGTCTTCTGCAAACCAAAGAACGAGTGGCTGATGGTAGATTTCAATAGTTCCCTCAACGGCAGGCAGGTGAACAGATGGTTCTCGTGGAGCAATGAGCAATTGTGCTGAAGAGGAGCGAGTCGTGGATCAATATGAGTTTGTGTTTGGTGGGAAAAGGGGGGGCCTTTGTCGGCGACATTGTAGGCGCAGCTTGCGTGGCTCGCACAAGCCCCAGGCCCAAGAGTCGAGCCTGCCAGAAGGGGGGTGGAGGGGGGGGGGGGGTGAAGGGTGCTGCTTTAAGGGGACCTTTACACCCATTCTTCCAGCGGGGTGAAATCCCCCTGAGAACCTTTGCGCTTTGGAAGCTTTGGGGGTCTGTGTCTGCCTAGGCACCTTACTGCCATGCTCGAGGGAGGTACTGAAGTAGGTGGGAGGCAAGAATGGTCAGTGGTCAGCACCTGCTGGGTGCCTGGGAGGGTGGAGTGTCTGTCGTGCTTTGGGCGCTTGGGACCCGCTTGTCCCGCAGGCCTCCCCTTCCTCAACGAATCAAGGAGCTTCCCGCAAGCTCAGCCCTCTCTTTAAGACTGTACCCTGCCTGGTAGGTATCCCCAGTCAGCCTGAGCGGTGCTGGCCCGCCTGAGCCTGGTACCTACCAAGCCTCCTTACCTCACCAGGCCAGGAGGGCTGGGGCCTCGGCCTTGGCGGCTCCCTAAAACGGGTCCCTAGGGCTCTCCCCCACGATCGCCCATTTCCCCTTTCGGCCGTGTCCACACCGCTGAGGACCATGAGGATCCTATTTCAGGCGAGGGCCCTGACGATCTGGCCCGAGCCAAGTGCATACACCTAACCCACATTGGGCAAGCTGCTCTGACGCTGCTCTCACCGGTGCTATGGCGTGCACAAACAGGAGGCTCTCGAACCTCGCCATGTACCTCTACCGGTGAGTCTCTCTCTCTCTCGCTCTTTCTCGTCGTCGATGCTCGCTAGACCAGACCAAACTAGACCAAGCGCCTGTACTGCTACCCCCCCTCCACTCTGCAGACCTAATCCCCGGCAGGCGTAATCTGATCCGAGGCCACGGGAACCTCTTTTCCGATTTCTGGCTTAGTCGAAGCACCTAGCTTCTCTGTGTGAACCTTTGTCCTCAAGCTTTTTTTTCCTCGCCATTTCTCATTTTGGTGACGCCACCAAACGACTTGGTCCCAATATACTCAACTTGCTCATCTCATCTCTCCTCAAAAAGGAAAAGGTGCTCTTGACAAGGTTGCTTGACAAGGCAAGCAAGTAGTGGGAGAGGAAGGGGGGCGTGTGCAACAGAAACAAAAAAAAGACAACCGACAACAGGCCATAAACCAGGGGGGTTAATTACGTGGCCAGCATAAAAATACACTCTGCCTGCTTACCGCCTACATGGCCTTCAGAGTGAACCGGCCAACGAACCAGCCGGTCCAGGGAGCTAGCCAGAATGACGAGATGCCATCATTCAATTTGCAAAGCTGACATGAACCCTTGAAAATGGCCTGACGGAGCCCACGACCACCAGACCACCCTACTCACTTACGTTGTTGGCGGAGGATTCGGGTGCTTCTTCGTTTTTTTTTTTTGGTCCCTTGCACCCGCGCATTGCTCAGACAGCCAGACAGAACCAGGTGTGCCAAGATCAATAATCAAGTTGACGTGCTCCGCATGAGTCTCTCCAGATCCTTGCTTTTTTCGTACCGTTGTGCCGTTCTGCATACGAACCAGGGGCCCTGTTCAGTGTTTCTTTTGTCTTGACCTATGCCACGTAGTCATGCATGTGCATCAAACCCCCTGCCTGCACCCCCCAATGACACCCAGTTGGCCCCCCTGAGTGATCGACGCCTGCACAGCATTCACCCCCGCACACACCCCCGGGGGTTTCATCCCGTGTGGGTCGATGGAGAGGGGGATCAAAAGGGGGGGGGGTTTGCTTAAGCTGACACCACCTGAAGTGGGCTACTGGTAGCGCTTCCACTGGTGTCGAATCGTCGCAACTTTTCCGTCTCATGCTGCCATTGCGCCAACACGAGGTCCGAAAAGAAGAGGGAGGGGGGCGTGCGTGTCTCTCTCGCTCTCTGTCTCTCTCTCTCTCTCTCATCCACACAAAGGGCACAGTGGCATTGAGCACGGCAGGATCGGACCACTCACTGCCCGAGGGCCCTCCCGCCGAAGATTTGGTTTCTGGTTCCTGGTGCGCTTTGTGCCCACCACCTCCACCACCACCACCAACCACCAACCACCAACCACGGCGGTTTTCGTCTCGTCTCTTCTCTCTCGCTCGTCTGGTCTCGTCTCGTCTCGTCTCGGGGTGAGCCGTCTGCCACCAGCGCATCTGTCAGCGGCACACACGCTGAGGGTGTGTGGCGCGCCCGCCACCCCGTCTCCATTGTGCGTCTGCGGCGTGCGTGCCCATCCTTGAGGCTGCGAATCCGAAGCCCGCCCTGGCGCACGCTGGAGTCAGTCGGTCAGGCACCTGCAGGTTTATTGATCGCGTGGCAGACGGGCAAAGGAAGAACGCAAGGAGGAGGCGAAAATTGCAATCCTTCCGCCGCAATCGGTGAGGACCTCTTGTCATGTTCGTGTTCAACAATCATCGGATGGAAAATTCCGATGTGGCTTTTTTTTTTCCCTTTCCTGCTTCCTTTCTCCTGTCGTCCTCTAGTTTCCTCTGGTCGGTCAAAGTTTGTTGAGCTGACCGCCAGACCGCTGGTTGTTGACGCCGAGCTTCCAGGAGTCAGGCCATGTCGCGGCAGCTGATCTTTCCATCTCGGATCCTCCCAAAAAGCTGGTTGACATGAATGAGGGCAATCCATGGCGAAGCTGATCGGCCATGGATGGGGCCAGGATAGGTAGATCACATCAACCAGACCAGATCAGATCAGCCAGGCCCGAACGAGAAGAGACCATGCCTGAAGCGATATCGATGAGGCGAGAACTCAGACCATTATGGGAAACTGATGGCCGCTTGGCAGCGCGTAGATTGAACAAAGACCCCGTCGTCCCGGGTCTCTGGGACTCCGGGGAAGGTTTTGCTCTGCATCGAGACCTGAGCCTGGCTGGGCCCAGCCGGGGGATGGATGGGATCACCAAATCCGTCGCCTTCATGCCCCAGAGCTTTCCGGCATCTGCGACCCCAGAGTTCTGGATCAGGAACGACATGGACAAACAAAGGGAAGAATGGCGAAGACTAAAAACTGAGGAACAAAGATCCAGACCCTGAGATGCTTCCCGACATCGACGCAAATGTCATAGCTCTGCGCAAAAATTCAAATCCTGCGTGGGAGCTGGACCCCGAAAGACGACGGGGCTAGCTATCCACGTCTACCCACATGGTCCGGTGGCCGAAGACCGCTCATCCGTCCCGATGCAGTAAAGCATCACGGCGGCGCGCCCACCAGCTCTACCCAAGCGTGAATCGAGCCTTGCTGACGCCTCGCTGCTCTGGCTGCTCTCACTGCTCTCGCTCTCGCCCCAGAGGCCAGGCTCTCCGGGGGCTGAGACATGGCTGACCATCTACCCTTTGACCCTGGATCCCCACACCCTGAACTTGGTTCTTTTCCGTCCAGGCCGTCCCTCCAGCTGGCAGCCCTAAGTCCCAAAAGAGATGCTCAAGGTGGGCTCGTCAAGCTTTGCGGTGCCGTGAGGCGTGGCGGTCTCGACTCTTTTTTTCTGTTTCGCCCTGGCCGATGCTGGGCCTGGCTCTCAATGGTGTCGATGGCGGGCTTGTCAATGGGCTGTCAGTGGCTCTCACGACCATGCAGGCGGGTTGGAGGACGCACATGGCTGGCTGACGGGTGGCCCCTCGAGATCTACAGCTGAGAATAGTACCTCTCTCCTGAGCATCCAACCTCGTGTTCGATTCGAGTACTTATTGCTCGGGCCCTCACGTCTCCATCGGCCATCTCTTGTCCCCCTCATCATCACACAACAGCAACAACAACAAGAAGAAGAGCCTTCTCTTCTCCACCTGACTCCTACAAGATCTTGTCATTACCCCCATTTCTTGACACTTGTTTGTTCTCTCATTTCCTTCATCCCTGATCCACCTGCATCCAACTACCAGACGACTCACCTGAGCCTGTCGACTCCTGCTTCGGCCCCCCTTCTTCACACCCAACACCTTTCCGTTTTCAGCCCAACCGCAGGACACCATGCGTTGCCAGATCGGCCTCGTCTCTGTCCTGGGCATGCTGGCTTCGGCCCACCCTGCCCCTGCTCTCGATGCCAGGCAGGCGTCTGGCTCTGCCGTGGCCTCCCCTGCCCCCTCTGATACCAACAACAACCCCCAGGAGTCTGCCGTGCCTGTCATCACCACTGCCACCGGCACCGTCGCCACGGCTGCCCCCGTCCAGGCCACCGACGCCCCTGCTTCGGACGGCTCGGACAGCGATGCCGCTGGTGTCGCCGGCACCGTTCTCATCCTCGCTCGTGACGAGTACAGTGCCTCTCTCGGCAGCGCTGGCCTCGTCGGCTACGGCATCAACTATGAGCACTACATCGTGCCCAAGGAGGGCCGGGACCTGCCCAAGCTCAACTCGACTCTGAAGCACGGCAACTACGGTGGCATCATCGTCACCGACGCCCTCGCCTACGAGTACGATGACGGCTGGCACAGCGCCTTCTCCTCTGAGCAGTGGGCTGCCATCCACTCCTACCAGGCCGACTTCCGCGTCCGCATGGTCCGCATCAACGAGTACCCCGGCCCCCAGTTCGGTGTCACCACCGTCGGCGGCGGCTGCTGCGGCGCCGGTGTTGAGCAGCTCATCAGCTTCACTGACGTTTCCGCCTTCCCCACTGCCAACATCAAGAAGTGAGTGCCCCACGCGCAGCACAACCCCTGCTCCTCTCGCTTAAGCATCTTTGACTAACATGATTCTCAGGAACGCCGGTGTCACCAGCCAGGGCCTCTGGCACTACCCCGCGTCCATCACGGACACGGCCACCACCAAGCAGGTCGCCAAGTTCGGTACCGGTGGCACGTACACCTCGGAGACCGTCGCCGCTGTCATCAACAAGATCGACGGCCGCGAGCAGTTTGTCTGGTTCACCTCGTGGGCCCCTGACTGGTCGTCCACCTCCAACTACCTGCAGCACGCTCACATCCACTGGATGACCCGCGGTGCTTTCCTTGGCAAGCGCAAGACGCACCTGAGCGCCCAGATCGATGATGTCCAGCTCGGCACCGACCTGTACTACCCTGCCGGCGGTCACTACAAGAGCACCACAGCTGATCTCAACGGTCACGTCTCTTGGCAGAAGAACCTCAACGCTCGCCTGCCCCAGGGTTCCTCCTTCTGGCTCGAGTTTGCCCACAACGGCAACGGCGACATCGAGGCCGCCACCACCCGCTCCGGCTCGGAGAACTACTGCGACCCCGACACGGCCGTCTACCAGGATGACTTCCCTGCCACTGCTCTTGAGTTCCAGAAGCCCCTCGGCACCGGCCAGGACTACTGGCCCGACATGTTCACCACCTACAACTGGACCAAGGCCTGTGCCGACCGCGACAGCTTTGCCGTCTGGTTCCAGAAGGCTGCCAACCGTGACGCCTTTGGCCACCTCTCGCACACCTTCTCCCACATGTCGCTGAACAACGCCACCTACGCCGACGTCAAGCGCGAGATCCAGTTCAACCAGGCCTGGATGAAGCAGATGGGCATCGACCAGGCCACGCGCTTCTCTGCCCACGGCCTCGTCCCCCCTGCCATCACCGGCATGCACAACGGCGACGCCATCAAGGCCTGGATCGACAACGGCATCACCAACGTTGTCGGTGACAACACGCGCAACCCCCTGCGCAACCTCGGCAACAAGTACCACCCCCTGACGAGCACTGTCGCCGACAACGGCTACGCCGGCCTCAACATCATCCCTCGCTTCGCCACCACCATTTACTACAACTGCGACACGGCCGAGTGCACGCTCCGCGAGTGGAAGGAGACCTCCGCCGGCACTGGCGACTTCAACACGCTCCTTGACAACGCCCGTGCCACCAACACGCGCTACCTCATGAGCCTGCAGTCCGACCCCTACATGTTCCACCAGGCCAACCTCCGCTTCAACGATCAGCCCACCATCACCGTCGGCACCAAGACGGCCAAGATGTCCCTCGTCATGGCCTGGGTCGAGACCATTGCCCAGGAGATGACCCGCCTCACCAACTGGCCCATCACCACCCTCAAGCATGACGACATCGGCAAGTACTTCATCGACCGCAAGACCCTCGACGCCTGCAAGCCCAAGGTCTCCTACGGCTACGCCGCCGACGGCAACTCGATCAAGTCCATCACCGTTACCGCCAACGGCAACTCCTGCGCCGTCCCCGTCCCCGTCACCATCCCCTCCGGCTCCGTCACCGCTGCCGGCGGCTCTGCCACCGCCGACGTCGTCGGCTCTGAGCCCCCCATCCAGTGGGTCACCCTCAGCGGCTCGCCCGTCACCCTCACCCTCGGCACCGCCGTCAGCATCGCTGCCTAAGCGGGAGGAGTTGAGCGACTACCTTGCACATTTTTCACACACACATAATTCAGCATTTAGAGAACGGGACATTGGGGGGGCGTTTCGGGTCATGATTTTGGGGTGTTTTTCTCTTTTCCGGTTTTCGAGTCTCAGGGATACTCGGGTTCGAAAAGAGTGATCTAGCATAATGTCTATCCTTAAGAATAATTTGTTATCCATCATATTTGCTCAGTCTTCTCGTGCTCCGCCTACTTGTGGTCTGATTTCCATTGGTTCGAATGTCGGTGAAGCGCACAGTCACAGCCTCGATTGTTTTCTCGTGATGACAACCGGCGTTGCTGTTCAATGGCCGTACTTGCATGGCGAATCTGATTGATGCGCTCGCTTGTGATCTAGCAGACAACGAAGAAGGTTCCCCTGTGTAAGACATACTTTGGGCTGTAGGGAACGATGGAAGCTGCTTGCGACAGGGCATCATGGATGCATATAACCTCACGGGTAAGGGGCCACGATTATCGCCGGTACATCACACAATGAGTTAAGTGTTTCAAGCAGAGCAGATTGAGTTATTGCCAATTTCTATCGCCCGATTGATTCAGTCAAGATCGGTTGAGATCACGGTTGTGGATGAGATGTCTCCGTGGTCGTGGGATGGAGCAATTAGTACCACCGCAACATTGCCAATACGTGCCTCATGCCTTAAAGTTGTGTCATGAGATGAGGTAGAGAATGAAGTTCAACGGCACCTTTTAGGCTTGACGCGATGAGGTTTCTTGTTCAGACCGGTCGAAGTGGCGTCTGGTGTTCTCGCCCATTGGCGTGATGCTGCCGGTTGCGGCCAGGATGAATCTGGCCGACACCAAACCGGCAATCGCGTGAAGCTTCAATGGATACAAGTAAAAATCTTCCTCAGTACGAGACGTCGGGTATACTGCTGTGACACGAGATGTTCGGCTCAAGTAGCCGTATTGTGAGGATCCAGGGACAGCATCTTGATATCTCTTTTTAGAAAATAATTAAACATCTGTTCAAGGCTATCCAACATCTGCAAAGTGAATAAACATCTCGAAATATCTCATGGGTGTTTTCGCTCATTGGTCGTGCAGTTTTTTCCCCAGGCCTGGTCGTCCGAAATCTCAAACGAGCTTCGTCTCATTTTTGTGGAAAGCAATGGGGGAATCAAGTATCAAAAATGCCATAGACATACACAATGACAGATAGTGTGATTTCTGGTGGATGAAAATAAAATTGAACACTTCCTCTTTATTGAAAGCAAACCGTGAAATTTAGCCGCGAATAGTGCAGCGTGGTCGATGAAATCAGCTTCACTGGCCATGGAGTTCCTTAATGGCAACTCACGATATACACAGCTCAGCCTTGTCTCAAATCACGTGACATAGACGCATCCCGGCAGAGTCTAGTTCTGTAATGACAATCGCGCATGCATGGCATGATTCTTCTCCTGGTGGCGCAAGCTCCGTGGAATTCATCCACTTATAGCTCGATCAAACAGGCACGACGTCTGGGTCATCACGACGGTGTCGCAGACTGATTGACAACCCCCTGCGTATGCTGACAATCATAAAGCGCCGTGGCAGTCGTGTCACGAGCCAAACTACCAGCTCCTGGACGCGATTAACGCCGTCGTTTGCTACCATGCCCGCTAAGATTCCCTCGTGACAGCTTCATTTTTCTTCTCTTACGGCAAATGAAGAGGCACGAACCAGTCGTGAAAAGCAATATCGGGAGATTGCCCGGTCATCGACGTGATTGGACTGGCCAATTCGGAGCTTTGAATTGGCCTTGTGCAAATAATTCGATCGGATCCCGCCCTTGCAAACCTGTGGCAGAAGGAAAATACCACGGCATCGGCGACGGACCGTGTGCCCCTCACAAGCTCCGAGAGGCATCGGTGCTTGCGGTTCAGCTTTGCAAATTTGTAATGTCTTGAAGTGGATGACGTTTGGATGGTGGTCAGATTCATGACGCGTACTAGGACAATAGTGGGATAACATCAGGGCGTGATTGGATCTTCGACATCGCTCGCTAGCGGAAGCTTGTTTGAGAAATGCTTGGTAAATGAATGGTTGCCGGATACGGCACGAGAAGTGAGCCATACGCGGATTTGGCTCGTGAAAGATTTGCGACGCTCCTGGACTAGAGCCTTAAGGTCTAAGTCCTCACGGCAGCTGCACTAAGGTGCCCAAATATTTTGAGGATCGATCAGTTTCCATGAACCTGAAAACGGGACAGGGGTCTCTTCTACATGAGTAGCTAAGGTTGACACACTCCATCGCGGCCTCAGCGCTATTGTCCACAGGGCTGCTGGCCATCAGATGCCGTCAGCACGATGACTGAGGTGAACGCCTCAGTGTGTAATCCACGATTATTGCGTGTGAACTGAAATTCCATATGGGTCATCTGCCATCTGGTATGTCGAAACACATTGAAACACGCGTTCAAGCAGCAAGCCTGAGGATGTGGTACCGCATCGAAACCAACCCAATCAGACCATCTGGCGTAGTTAGCCTACCGTACCTTATCTCGGCATTTTCCCACTTGATGATTTTGAGACCAGTCAGTCTGATCTCATCGTGGATCCCACCCCAGAGCTCGTCATAGACTCCCCCTTACCGCGATGCTTGGGGCACTTCGGACACTTTTGTGACCGATGTCCAGGCAGACTTTCAGACCCTTCTCGGCCTTCGGCCACAGTCAGCCTCGCAGTACGGTCGGCAGACCTCCGTGGCTCCGTGGCCCGTGGCCTGGGATCATAATGTCCGATCTGACTATTTGGTGCCGTGTGCCGCGTCCCTTGAAGCTGTGTAGTGTGTAACTCTTCATTCTCTCTCCAAGGCATTCCGTCTTCGAACAGTCTTACGTTACCTTGTGGTGCCCCGAAATTCACCATCATAGCCTCTGGCGGCTGTTTCCGTCATCCATTCCTGGTCATCTATTCTGCCGCTGAACACATCATCAAGCTGTCCTTGGCCTGTGTGGGCTTGAAGTTTCACCTACAGCCTCGCCGTCATGGAGGCGCGTGCGACACCACTCGATACTGACGTCCCGGGCGGATTCCCTGAGACTCCTGCTTCCAATGGGGTTCCTACGCCACAAGGCCTACATAATCGCAACACTTCCAGCAGGGTTGTTAACTACAGCGCTGGATCCTACATACCCACCTCGAACCACAATGCTGGGCAACCCTCGAATGATGGAGTCGCCGTAAATACTTCCTACTTCGGTTCTATAAACAGCGGTCGAAACGCCCGCGCCGAGCCCTCGCCCACCTACGGCGCCTCCTCCGAGTCCAGCACCTTGCATGGCGATCGGGCGTCGCACGATCGTGATGCTGCTCCCCTAGCCGCTGCCGCTTTTGCGTCGCAGGACTCGAAAATCCTCGACGAAAAGGAGAAAGTCTCGCCAGCTGGCGGCACACCGTCCGACGACGATGGGCCCCAACTCGCGCCATTAAAACCCGCCCCTAGTTCGACGGAGAAGTCACACCTTCACCGTCAGAAGAGCGCCCGCACCGAGGATGAACTCTTCCAGATGCTGTCGAGGCGCCGGACCGGTGCATCCTCAACGGCCGAGGAGCAAGAAGAAGAAAGCGAGATCAACATGCTCATGGCTCGTATGTTCGGAAAGACGCGTCAGGAGAATTCGGAGGAGGAACAGACCCGCCACAGTGGTGTTGTCTTCCGCGACCTGACCGTCAAGGGCGTCGGTCTCGGTGCCAGCCTTCAGCCTACCGTTGGCGACATCTTCATGGGACTGCCGAGAACCTTGAAAAACCTCCTTACCAAGGGTCCCAAGGCTGCCCTTGCCAAGCCGCCCGTTCGCGAGCTCATCAGCCACTTCGACGGCTGTGTGCGACCTGGCGAGCTCCTGCTTGTCCTGGGCCGTCCTGGCTCGGGCTGTACGACTTTCCTCAAGGCCTTTTGCAACCAACGCTCTGGCTTCGAAGCCGTCGAGGGTGACGTCACATATGGCGGCACTGACGCGCAGGAGATGTCCAAGAACTACCGTGGCGAGGTCATCTACAACCCCGAAGATGACCTCCACTACGCTACGTTGTCAGTGAAGAGGACGCTCAAGTTTGCGTTGCAGACCCGAACGCCGGGCAAGCACTCTCGACTCGAAGGCGAGAGTCGTCAGGACTACATCAACGAGTTCATGAGGGTGGTCACCAAACTGTTCTGGATCGAGCACACCCTCGGTACCAAAGTTGGCAACGAGTACATCCGTGGCGTATCTGGAGGCGAGCGCAAGCGTGTCAGTATCGCTGAAGCCATGATCACCAGAGCTTCTGTTCAGGGCTGGGATAACTCTAGCAAGGGTCTCGACGCGAGCACTGCCCTGGAGTATGTTCGGTCCATTCGTGCCATGACCAACATGGCAGACGTCTCAACTGCCGTTTCACTCTATCAGGCCGGAGAGTCTCTCTACGATCTTGCAGACAAAGTTCTGCTCATCGACGGCGGCAAGTGTTTATACTACGGACCTTCCGACAGCGCCAAGCAGTACTTCATGGATCTTGGGTTCGACTGCCCCGACCGCTGGACCACTGCCGACTTCCTCACCTCAGTCAGTGACCCTCATGAGCGCAGCGTCCGCAAGGGCTGGGAGAACCGTATCCCTAGAAGCCCCGAGGAGTTCTACGAAGCCTACAAGAAGAGCGACGCGTACAAAAAGAATCTGGCCGATGTTGAGAATTTTGAGTCGTCGCTCGTTGAGCAACGTCAACAGCGCGAAGCTGCCTCGTCAGAGATTAAAAAGAAGAACTACACCCTTCCTTTCCATCAGCAAGTCATCGCATGCACCAAGCGTCAGTTCCTGGTCATGACCGGAGATCGCGCATCTCTGTTCGGCAAATGGGGAGGCCTCGTTTTCCAGGGCCTCATTGTCGGTAGCCTCTTCTTCAATCTCGCTCCCACAGCCGTCGGCGTATTCCCTCGCGGCGGTACTCTCTTCTTGCTGCTTCTCTTTAACGCTCTTCTCGCACTCGCTGAGCAGACTGCTGCCTTCGAGTCCAAACCCATTCTGCTCAAACACAAGTCCTTCTCGTTCTACCGACCGGCGGCATATGCTATTGCACAGACCGTGGTTGACGTGCCGCTTGTGTTCATCCAGGTCTTCCTCTTCAATGTGATCATCTACTTCATGGCAAACCTTGGACGAACGGCATCGCAATTCTTCATTGCCACCCTCTTCTTGTGGCTTGCGACCATGGTGACGTACGCTTTCTTCCGAGCCATTTCAGCGTGGTGCAAGACCATGGATGAGGCTACTCGCTTCACGGGCATCTCAATCCAAATCTTGGTAGTATACACTGGCTACTTCATTCCACCTAGCTCCATGCCTCCGTGGTTCGGCTGGCTGAGATGGATCAATTGGATCCAGTACAGCTTCGAGGCCCTGATGGCAAATGAGTTTTCCAGCTTGGAACTGCAATGCGAGGCGCCATTCCTGGTGCCCCAGGGTCCAAATGCTTCGCCTCAGTACCAGTCGTGCACACTTAAGGGTAGTGAACCTGGCAGTACTATCGTCACTGGTGCGGCGTACATCCGAGAGGCGTTCTCCTACACTAGATCTCACCTATGGCGCAACTTTGGCTTCCTCTGGGCCTTTTTCTTCTTCTTCGTCTTCCTGACTGCCCTCGGTATGGAGCTGATGAAGCCCAACGCTGGCGGTGGTGCTGTTACCGTCTTCAAGAGGGGTCAAGTTCCTAAGAAGGTAGAGGAGTCAATCGAGACCGGCGGCCACGAAAAGAAGAAGGATGAGGAGGCTGGCCCTAGCGGACACTTTTCGCAGGCCATGCCTGACACGAGCAACGCAGGCGAGACAAGCGGCGACGCTGCAAACCAGGTCGCGAAGAACGAAACTGTCTTCACTTTCCGCAACATCAATTACACCATCCCGTACGAGAAAGGAGAAAGAAAGCTTCTTCGGGATGTTCAAGGCTACGTCCGCCCCGGAAAACTCACTGCCCTCATGGGAGCTTCAGGTACGTGTTTGACTTTGCGTGATTCATGACGGACACCACTGATTGATTATAGGTGCTGGCAAGACGACCCTTCTCAATGCTCTGGCCCAACGTCTCAACTTTGGCACAATTACTGGTGATTTTCTCGTCGATGGTCGACCCCTTCCCAAGTCCTTTCAACGTGCCACAGGCTTCGCGGAGCAAATGGACGTCCACGAGCCTACATCGACAGTTCGTGAGGCCCTTCAGTTTTCGGCTCTGTTGCGACAGCCCCGCGAGACACCGAAACAGGAGAAACTTGACTACTGCGAGACCATCATTGACCTCTTGGAGATGCGCGATATCGCCGGCGCGACTATTGGCAGAATCGGCGAGGGATTGAACCAGGAGCAGCGTAAGCGTTTGACAATTGGCGTTGAGCTTGCTTCAAAGCCTGAGCTACTGATGTTCCTCGATGAGCCGACATCTGGTCTTGATTCTGGCGCCGCGTTCAACATTGTCCGCTTCCTTCGTAAACTGACCGACGCCGGCCAGGCCGTGCTCTGCACCATCCACCAGCCCTCTGCCGTTCTATTCGAATACTTTGACGAGTTGCTTCTTCTCAAGTCCGGTGGTCGTGTCGTCTACCACGGCCCTCTGGGACACGACAGCAGCGAGCTGATCGGCTATCTCGAGTCAAACGGCGCAGACAAATGTCCGCCCAACGCCAACCCCGCCGAATACATGCTCGAAGCTATCGGTGCCGGTGATCCAAACTACAAAGGCCAAGACTGGGGTGATGTGTGGGCTGATTCTTCTCATCGCGAGGCCCGTTCGCGCGAAATCGATGATTTGGTTGCCGAGCGCCAAAACGTCGAGCCGACTGCCAGCCTGAAGGATGATCGTGAATACGCCGCATCCCTCGGCACACAGACGATTCAGGTGGTGAAGCGTGCCTTTGTCTCCTATTGGCGATCACCCAATTACATCGTCGGCAAGTTCATGCTGCATATACTCACTGGTCTCTTCAATACCTTCACCTTCTTCAAGATTGGCTTCTCTTCGACCGATTTCCAGAACCGCCTGTTCTCCATATTCATGACGCTTGTCATCTCACCACCACTTATCCAGCAACTGCAGCCTGTCTTCCTCAACAGCCGCAACGTTTTCCAGTCTCGAGAAAACAATGCGAAGATTTATTCCTGGTTTGCGTGGACCACGGGCGCTGTCCTTGCCGAGATCCCCTATGCCATCGTCGCTGGTGCTGTTTACTTCAAGTAAGTTGAGCCTGGGTTCACCCTTCTGCTGAGCACGGCCGGGTCACCTCTTGAGCCCTTTCGTTTACCAGAATGCTGACTTCGTTGCGTAGCTGTTGGTGGTGGGGGATTTTCGGACTTGATGTCTCCGCCTTTGTGTCGGGCTTCGGTTTCCTCCTCGTCATCCTCTTCGAACTCTACTTCATCAGCTTTGGCCAAGCCATCGCTGCATTCGCCCCCAACGAACTGCTCGCCTCCCTGCTTGTCCCGCTCTTCTTCCTTTTCGTCGTAAGTTTCTGCGGTGTTGTTGTCCCGCCCATGCAGCTCCCCACCTTCTGGCGAGAGTGGATGTACTGGCTGTCTCCCTTCCACTACCTCTTGGAAGCTTTTCTCGCGGCTGTCATACACGACCAGCCTGTCCAATGTGCTTCTGAAGAGTTTGCTCGATTCGAGGCACCGAACGGTCTTAGCTGCGATGAGTACGTTCAGCCATTCATCGCAGAGGCGGGCGGCTACGTGCAGACGGCCTCTGATGGGCTGTGTGAGTTCTGCCAGTACGCCACCGGTGATGAGTTTGGTGTGGGCTTCAGCGTGTACTACAGGAACATCTGGAGGGATTTCGGGATCTTCTGCGGCTTCATTGCATTCAACTACGCCGTCGTTGTTTATCTCGCCACTTAGATTTAAGGGAAAGAACCCCTTGAACCCCTTGAAGGGCCTGATGGCCAAGAGGAAGAATTAGTATTTTGGGAGCCAGCTACCATCATAATTTAATGCCACAGCTTTGTTCGTATCGTCATTTTGTCCGAGGACAGTGTGAACCTCGGCTTCGTATGCCGTACGCGGGCCTGCCCCAGACGATCCACCAAGGGGCCATTGCCCTCATCCAGCCCGAACCCTAGCGCCCGCAGCGCACAGCTCTTCCATGATCACCACGACCAAGGTCGGCTGTCATCCAAGGGCGATTGGTTTAGTGGTATAACGTCTGCTTAGCATCTGAGATCATGAGATCGTGAGATACTATCTGCTGAAGGTCGCGCGTTCGATTCGCGCATTGTCCATCTTTTGCTTTTGTCTCCGCCGTGTTCTACAGCGAAGTCCGAACAACGCGGTATCTCACGTTACAAACTTTTCTATTAGGTATGGGCGGGCCAGTACTCTACACGTAAGATATAGTCAGGGTACATGTCGATAGCAACGCGTGTGTCCTTGCGCCTCATAAGCTTTAAGGTGTAGCATGCTTGGGTAAATGCTCCTTAGTTTGTCGCCTTCTCATCAAATCCCGCCCAATCGGACATTGTTTTCTCGAGGTCCAAATGCGATGTCTCGAGGCCCATCTTCCCCATCGCCTTGATGAGTTCCCCATCATCTACTTCCACGTGCTGCGGACTGCTTCTGCCATATTGCTCGTCGAGTTGCCTTCCGAGCGCATCGGGGATCTTGAAGATTTTGCCAGTTCGGTGGTCCTGAGCCCAGTGCTGTTCGGGCAGTACGATTGGGTCTGGATCTATGATCGGCTGGATCAGGGTCCGATGCTCGTGATAATGAATGGAGCGAGTCCGCCGTTGCTCGTAAATCGTATGGACGTGTGGCCTGATTTCTTCGTGCGTGACAGGTTGTCGCGTGATGACGGTGTGATCGAAACAGACATCGGGGTGCGTCTCAACGCGATCGAATTTCTCGGGTTGGACGTTTACCCCCGCAGTGTCTATCCTACTTTTGCCGGCATCGTAGGTATTGGGCCCCGTACCTTCACTCGATGTGGGGAGCTTCAACTCGGGACTCTCAGAGCTGATCCTAGGCCCAGTCACCATGCTCGACCTGTTGCTAGGAGTGGTCTGGCCACTGGTCTGCCCGCTTTTGCTCCCACGTCGACGAGCGGAACGGGGCTCGAAGTTCGCCCTTTGGAGTTCATATCGATCCCGAGTTGTCCGTGGCCACGACTCAGTCTCTGTAGCGCCAGCCGAGACCTCAGCCACGCCAGATTGATTGCTTGAAGTGGCTGGAGACTTGAATCTGCGAGACAGGGCCTGCCTGAGACGACTTGACCTGGAGGGGATGAGGACGTGATCCATCGTCAATATTACCAGAATGTTGGACATATCCCATGGACAAGGGTAAAAATGCTACCAGAGCACCAGTTATGGGGTCGGCGGGGAGTGCGTGCATCATTTGAAATCCGAAAAGCATGCGTCATCGCCGCCTGAGTACAAAGCGCCGATGCTGTCATTGATAGACGCAAGCAGCAAGCACGGTCCAATGTTCTGAGAAATGACCCGAGGTATATCTGGGGAAGAACTACTCCGGAAGGTCGGTTGGGCTAGACTGTTCTGGAGCGTGTCTGGCTCAGGAATGTCTCAAGTCTATAGTAGATATTGTTGTGAAAGTGGCCGTCCGGAATCGTCATGGTCGTCGATCTGGTGCCACACCGGCTAGCGCTCCCTCCACTCGCCAGGCACCCAGGAGAGCATGCTTCACGCTATAGGGAGTGGCTTTATCTACCGATTTCTGCTTGGTTATTAACATAGCTGCGAGAGTTTGACAGTAAACTTACTAAGCGATGCTACGCAAGGCTCGTCCGTCCATCCATGTCGTCGGAGACTCTCTCTTCCACTGCGAAATACCGGTTGGATGCGGTATTGCGAACTCCGTCAGCACCCCGATCCAGACCACTGTTGCCTCCGGGTATTCGCTCCATTTTCTCGCGAGCCTGGGGCAGTTTCCTGACGTTTGCATCTTGAAGACGAAAGGGTCATTTCATGTTCTGAGAGGTAAAGTAGCCGCGGGTCAGAATACGCGGCAAAAAAAATCGGTACTTGATGCATGATGCTCTGGTCAAGCACGAGCCAGTCCCATGCAGACCAACCACATCATATTTGGCGTAGCTTCATATCCTTGCCATTGAAAAAGCGGTTGTTGGAGCTCAGCATACTGACTCTCAACCTGATTCTCAGCAGACAGGAGCGGGTATAACCAAGAAACATCGAGCATCCGATTTCGCCGGGACCTGAATGCTTTCAGGTAGGTAGCTCGTAACTGACATGGTGGATTGATTCGCCAGGCGTGAAATGGCGGCACGGTTTCCAGCACGGCTTGTCACAGGAATTAGTTACTTCGGGACTGGACGGAATTTCCGTAAGGAAATGATACAGCCATGAGAGAAGTATGTGCAATGATGAAGGACGACAAAGAATAACGAAACAGTCGGATAGACTCAGTTCATAATCTGAGTTCGAAACCGACATTGGCATCTTGGGGATGTAGGTCAGTGGTAGACTGTTCGCTTCGCATGCGAAAGGTCCCCGGTTCAATCCCGGGCATCTCCATTTTTTGCCCTTCCGCCCCTTCACCAAGTACCGACCAGAGGTACAATCTCTGTAATGAAATACAAACAAGAGTGCCTCGTCTGTGTTCAGCTCTTGGTCATGTTTTTTTTTAAGATCTTTTTCCAGATACTCTCGCGGCGGTACTGTGAGTCTGACCTTGATTCTGGTTCGCTAGACTCAAGAATGTCGCGTATCTATGAGGTTTAGATACTCGACATGTGATGAAGGCCACAGTTCCTCTTGGTCATTTTGATCCCATTAAGTCACAAGTGCAAATACCAGTTGAAACCTTTTGTACTCTATGGCATGCGCTTCAAGGCGGAGTTCAACCCAATTGCATTTTCCGGTCCCAACACCTTCCAACTCCGACAGCACGTCTCCTCAGGTTATCATACAGAACCAGCCACCGGTACATCGCGGTACTACTGGTGATTACCTCTTCTTCGTCTTGCCGGCCGATTTGCGCTTCACCGCCTCTACAAGACCACCGAGTTCCTCGCCACTCTTCTTGGCATTCTTCACCTTCTTGACCTGGCGTTCGTCGGGCGCTGCATCACCGCCATTCTTCCTCTTCTTGCGGCCCTCCTCTAGCAGTTGCTGCATGCCCTCTGTGGCCTTATACTTGGGATTCGACGGGTCGATGGCATACTCATGGCTCTCAAAGACAGCCTTGAAACGGTCGTCACCAACATCCATCTTGAAGCCCTCCTGTAGACCGGCCCGCTCGACTTCCTTCTTCTTGCCCTTCTTCTTGTACTTTTTCTTGCTCTGCTTCTCGGCTCGCGTGATTTCGTTCATGTCAAAGTGATCCAAGTGGTCGCCATTATCCTCACCATCACCGGCCATGAGAAGCTCCAGCTGCGCCTTCGACTCTGCCTTCTCCTTCTCCTCGGCTTCCCGCGCCGCTCTCTTGGCCAGACGCTCTTCCTTGCGGATGGGACGTCTTGGTCTTCTTGGATGTCTCTTCCGCCGCGAAGAAGGGGTCGTCGAAGCCCAGGTCCTCCTCCGGCTCCGCTTCCTCTTCAGAAGAAGAAGACTCGGCATCTGGGGTCGCGACCTTCACGTCTTGCCCTCGCCGCCAGGGGTTACTCCTCCTTGCGCTCGCGTTCTTTGCGGGCGTACTTTCTCAATCGTCGTCTCCTCCTCTTCGGAACCTTTGTTCTTTTTGCTTTC